AGAAAGATAATGATGGGTTTTCCTTATCTTCTCAGGTCCATTCATCTGTTAGAGAATATTTGAGTCATTTCCAGCTTTTTGGCAATTAAGAGGCAAGCTGCTATAAATATTCATGTATAGGTTTTCATAAAGATGTAAGTTTTCATTACTTGAGAGTAACTACTCAGAGGTGGGATTGCTGGGTCATTAAGTAAGTGTATATTTAGCTTTATAAGAAGTTACTTTTCAAGTTGTTGTACCATTCTGTATTTCCACTAGCAATGTATGAGAGCTCCAAGTGCTTCACATCCTTGTCAGTATACTGGTATTGCTAGTATTTTTTTTTTCAATTTATCACCCTAATAAGTGTATAGTGGTATCATTTTTTTCATGATAAACCCCAAATAATTCATAGTATATTATCTCTGCATTTCTAACTTACAATGCTTTAAAAAATGACTTTCTTTTTAAAATATAACTATTTGCTATAGTCCATACATCTAAATATATTATAAAATCAAACTTACTTCTATTTTTGGAACTGAAGGGAGAAGGCAGCTAAGATAAATGTAAATATCAAATGGCATGGAAATGACTTTATCAACTTTTAGGAAATAACCAGAATTTACTCCCACAAGGCTTTCATGAAATTAAGTTTACTTTGAGATTGAATATATATGCACATTTTCCTGTTACAAAGAATAAACTAACAAACACCAAATATCATCCAAGTTTGTAATGACATGTCACCATATATTATTGGTTGAGATACAAAGCAATGAAATTTAAATGTTCAAAATCATATTAGATTTATTTTCCTTTGTGTTTTAATCCAGACATTGAACATTCTATAGAGATAACCTTACAGATGAGTATATAATTTGATACTAGTAAATAGTTTTAAAGTGTATCTTTCTTTGCCTCTGAAAGGGCCATTTAAAAGCAGTAATTCAGGACCAGAAAAACTAAATTGAAATTAGGTGATGGATGCATTCAGGAAACCACAGATCTTAATAACTTTATTATAATACTAAGAGATATTGTGCAAAGGAGATGGATGTATTGGAGCTTCAAATTGGTTACAAAAAGGTATTGATGCTAAATGCTGGCAAAGGCCTCATCTGGTAAGGCTTCACGTGTGTTAAAACATAAAAATGTGATTTGAAAAGAGATGACATGAAGGGCAATCAATACCTGTTTTTTTGTTCTAGGTCTTGAGAGACATCCAGAAATAACTCAGGATGTGGTGTTAAAATCCCGAATTGTTTTAGGCCACTGAAAAAAATGTCAGATTAATAATTAATTTGATCATAGTTCTAGTCTGTGTACTTTAATATATTTACTAAATGGAAATTTAAATAAGCTCAAAGACACGTAGACAGTTTCCAAGTGTTAAAAGCTAGCACTAAAATGATTACTACTCTGGGAACTCAGTTCTCTCTTTTGGGTGCCAATCAAAAGAAATTTAGTTAAAAATTAAGGTAATAAGACTTGAGACCTGCATTGGATTCAGATTGTTAAGAAAACCTTTTATGACAGTGCAGCAGAAGTGTGTAGGGGGAGCGATATGAGGATGCTTAAGCACAAAGTCTTAGGGGATAGACACATTGGTCAAAATTCTGGCCATGTAATCTTTCATAACCTGAAGCCTACCATGTGAAATGAAAGTACTTCAATTTATAAGACTAAGATAAGGATCAAAAGAAAGAATTGATATGAACTTCTTAGTTGATGGTAAGTGCTCATGCAATATGAACAGTTTCTATGTTGACATTTATTGTCACAGACATTGGGGATTTGTATGTCACAGAGACAGTAAACAAAGATGGATATTTTCCAGTTGCTGTTATTTCTTTACTGACAGGATTATTGGAGGATTCAAATAAAAATATAAAATATATACCATGCAACCTCATGAGCATATGTTATGCCAGCATGCGTATTCACTGAATACTATCCTGATGCAAATTATAATGCATCACATGATCAAGATAAGTTAACATGAATCAGTAACATCTATCACTTGAATTTCTTGTTCTAGTATGTTTATTTTGTTTTCATTTTGACAGATTCATTACATTAGAAACTAAGACCATTGAAGTTTGAGATTAGGTCTTATCTTCCATATTGTTGACAGTGTTCGAAATTAGTTTCTCTTTATTTTTTTTCTCATTAAGTGTCTATTTATCAATTTTCAACTCCCTAAGTGTTCTATATCTAGTTTTAGGTACAAGTGATATTTTGTTTATCCATAAAGTTAACAAAATTGTAAAATACATTAAAAAGATTCTTATCGCATACAGAAAATAGGTACTCAACAAGTAGAAAAAAAGTAACATGAAGATATCTTAACAACGATTGCATACCAGGCTTTTTATCAGCTCATATTAAAGATCTTTCTAGACTACATTAATCTATATGCTTATCTTACCAAAAGCAGTGCTCCAAATATATATTTTGCATCACTTTTAATGGCAAAAACTGCAGTTACTGTTGTACCAACCTAATAAAACAAGCATTGTTTAGTAACAGAAAAATATTTCAGTGCTCAAAGATCAAATTTATGTGAATAAATTGTAGATTAGTTGAAAGCTTCAAAGACTCATGATGTTTAAGCTATTTCTGTTTAAAATAAGCTACAATTAATAACCTTAACTTGGTCATTACCACTAAGATTAATCATATTTTAAGGACATTTGACAACATGTTAATGATTTTGCTATTTAACAATATAATTTGTGGCATTATCTTCTAGGAAATTATTGTTTCAAGTTGGCTTAGTCTCCACATTTTTCATAATTCTTTTATATCTCATTTTTCTCCCTCTTCTTCTGAAGTGTCTGAAAACAGACTCAGTTGCTTAACTTGTAATATAGTGCCTCTTTTGCTTACAGGAAGCTTGATTTGCCCTTCAAACTGACGTTCCCTACCACTGGTTGCTATATTTAAGCGATTATAGGTGATTTTTTTTATTGCAAAATATGGCTTTATGACCCCAAACTGATAGGTGCAGGAAGCAGAGATATTCTAGGCAGAAAAGGGTGGGTCTCTGAAAAAACCCCACTCACAAGACTGAAACTGTGGCCCAAAGCAAGAACTTACATCCCTGTTTTTCTGCTCAAATGCTGCCTTTTCTAAAACCACCCGTGGCCTGCCTCGACCTTCATCCTGTGTCAGTAAAACCCCCAGCTCAGCCAGCAGAGAGAGGAGAAGTAGCCTATGTCAGCAACCACAGCTGGACACATGAGAGAAGCAGCTTGACCTCTGAGGGACAGCTTGACAGCAAATCTTTGGAGAAGAATCTGGACATAGACAGCTGAACTTCAGGAGATTACCTTCCCACCCTGTCCCCCTTTCAGCATTCCTTTCCACTGAGAGCCACCCCCGTCAGCAATAAAATCTCCCACATTTACCATCCTTCAATTTGTTCACGCAACTTCATTTCTCCTGGATGCCAGACAAGAGTTTGGGTGCCACAAGTGCAGATGCAAAAGACTGTCACACTGAGCCTTTGCCCTCGCTGGCAGAAGGCAGCTAGCTGCCTCATGTGAAAAGGCAAAGGGGCTACTGAGATGTTAACACTTAAGCCGTCAGCAGACGGTAGAGCTAAAAGAGTACTGTAAGACTTCCTCCAGGGCTTCAGGGGTCACACCCCGCATCTCTACCAGAGGCTGCTGCAATGTCGGTATGGAATTGGCTCTTGCCAGCACCCAAAAAGCACTCGCCCTGTCTCCTGCACCCGGTCTCCTGTGTGCTCCCTCCCACGAGGAGCAGAATGCAGCAGGTCCAAGTGAGTGGAGTTTGCCCCTGCTGGCACTGGAGTGGCCAGCTGACTCTAGTGCTTGTGTACTCCAGTTCCCACCCATGAAAGGGCCAGGTAAATATCCTGCTTCAAAACTAAGTTACACCTGAATCTTAACCTGTCAATTACCTTTAGCCACCAGCCTGCCTTTCTTTCTCCCACCTCTAATGTAAGGATCTAAGGAGGGAATTTACAAAGAAGAGTTGTAGAATAAGAATAAAAGCGTGGTGAAAAGCTATCCAAGTTTTAGAAACTTCAGTGCAAACTTCTACAACAAAATCTTGGCTGGGGAGGGATGGCTCATGGATGAGGGTCAAGTAAAGCTTTCTGTTTACCCCTTTGCTCATTTTAAATTCATTATGTTCGTGCTTACTTGTAGAGAAAAAGAAAAATATAGATGACTTATTTGTATAGAAAGTTTTGAAAAGAAACCTCCCCAGATGAGAAATGTAGTAAGAGGAGGGCCTTGATCCATGGTGCTTGCCGAGGGAGCACCTTATTGGGATCGGCTCACTCCATGGAATGCAAAAGAAGCAACAGAGAACAGCACTGGGTACCACTTGCTGAGCACAGTAATCCTACCCACTTACAACCACGCTTCCATCAGTATCTGGAATTCTGAAAAATCAAATGGAGAATATGTCTTTTCTTTAAAGTGATTAAGGAAAGAAATATGGAAGCTTCCTGGAGGCAAGAGGGAAGAAAGGCTATTTCTTCTTCACTGAACAATATCAGGATTGTTTTATTCTTTCTGAGTTAAGGATAATTTATTCCTTACCTCTCTATATTTTTTAATTAACTCAAAAGAAACCAGTTATTTTTTTCTCAAAAGAAATTAAGTACTTACATTTTTAAAAAGGCATATATAGTGTATTAGTTCATTTTCACACTGCTAATAAAGACATGACGGAGATTGGGCAATTTACAAAAAAAAGAGGTTTATTGGATTTACAATTCCACGTGTCTGGGGAGGCCTCACAGTCATGGCAGAAGGTGAAAGGCATGTCTCACATGGTGGCAGACAAGAGAAGAGAGCTTGTGCAAGGAAACTCCCCATTTTAAAACCATCAGATCTCGTGAGACTTATTCACTATCATGAGAAGAGCTTGGGAATGACCCACCCCCATAACTCAATCATCTCTCACGGAGTCCTTCCCACAACCATGGGAATTATGGTAGCTACAAAATGAGATATGGGTGGAGACGCAGAGCCAAACCGTATGGTACTGCAACCCAAACTTTTAATGTGTTTGGTGCTTCTCGAACTGAAAGGATGTAAGCCGGCCTGGACTGGATCAGACAGTTTTGAGACTCCTGAATCATCCTGTAGGATAAAAAAAGACATCAAAATGATACAGGCCTTTGCTGTAACAGAAATTTTTAAGCAGACTTAGGAGTTTCCTATGTATAATAAATCCTACCATAATGGGATAGTAAAATAATGTTGAGATTTATGATATGACCACATATGGTTCCAATTAATTTAGTCTGAAAGTCCTCAATATAGTCTGTCATTAATGTGTAAAGCTTTCCATTGATCTTAGAATCTTAGAATCTTCCTATTTCTTACAGAAGTCTCACACTTGAAAATTTAGTTGTCCCAGATGAGGAAAGGGCTACGGAGGACTAACAATTGTGGATTCTGCATAGCTATATCGCTAAAATCCCATTCACTCAATGAGTTCTTGCGTATGCCATTGACACTAAATGTTATTTTGTCATTCTGACTCGTCAGTTTATCATAAGCCAAAACAGTATGTACATAGAGAGGGTGAAGGACTCAGAAGACTGAAGGTAGAGCACTGGAAGACTGAGAAAACAGGGAAAACATTACCTTCTCTTGAACAAATTTTAAAGAAAGAAATAAACAATAAAGTAACTACTAATAAAATAAATTAGGTTTCTTTAAACTTGGTAATTGGAAAAATATCTAGGAATGTTTAAATAAAGCTTGAGAACCAGCTATACAAATAGTGGCTATTCCATGACATGAAAAATTTAAAAAATTGAAAAGTAAAATATAAGCATTAGTGACACAGGGATGGGGCAGAGACAAGAAGAGACACTGTGTTGGCTGAGATGGAAGTAAAAGAAATTTCTCATCTATCCCCATGAGTCAATGTGTGCTGCACAGCTTGTGTTCTGTATGTGAGAAATGGGAGTGAGCTACTCATGTAGTGCAAAGTAGTCAGGTGGTGTCTTTTAGGGCATAGAAGTCTATGCATGGAGTGAAATTTCAGAAAATTTACAACCGCCTATAGCTTGAACAGAGAAGCAAGAGTACCAGAGTACCTGAATGTAAGAGTAACCAAATGCAAAATCCAGCCTGATTCAAGAGTACCTGAATGCAAAATCCAGCCTGCAACAGTTTGTCAGTGGTTAAGGACAAAATTAGCACATTTTAAAGATTGAGGTCGTTTAGGAATCCTCAACATCTGTATAGTCAATCCTTATAAGTGTAATGATTGATATAGTGTAGGGTTTTTCTCCCCATTAACATTAAATATACTAAATAAAATTGTAATGTACACAAGTAATCAATCAGTAATAGAGATGTACGCTTAATCTATTACAAAAACATTGATAGTGTAAAAAGCAAGTTTAGTTTCATTAAAAATAGATTTAATAATAAGTACTAATGAAGATAATACATTTTTATTTGATTCCATTTACTCTGACAATTGCTTGAAGTATACCTAAAGACTCTTCATATTTATATATGTATATATGTGTATGTATATAAAAAACAGGTTAATAGTTTTATGGAAAAAGTTATTATAAGTTGTATAGAGATCTTATAATCTTGCAGATTATATTCCTTTAACTAAATAAAATTCTGGATAGTCACTTATATTTACAACTTGAATGCTAAAAAAATGAGATATTGTTAGAGAAGGGCAAATGTTGCCATTAAGAGCAATTACATTACTATATTGCATTTAATATATGACTACGATTCTTTTTTCTCTTTCACTTTTAATGCGCTTTATGAAAAATAAGAAAAATCAAATTCCTTAATAAAGGGAGTAAAGTAATCTCTTTCTCTCAATTCTGCTTTTTTAATTGTTTAGGAAATGACTTGAGTCACTCTGGGTAAATCCTCAATATTAACATTCTTAGGACCTTCTTGACATTTGGATAATAGGTTACAAATTCTTTACAAGAATTAAATATTTATTTAGTAATTCTCTTGCAAGACCATTGCAAGAGTCTAGGTATTCTGTGATAAGTGTGATATGTTGGAAATAATCTATTACTAAGAGTAGTTAAGTTTTTTATTCATGCAAAAATGTTTTTCTACATTAGTGTTAATTCAAAGATATTTCCATATACCATCATTCCAACTTTCCTTCTAATATAATGGAACAATCTCCTGAGGCTAGAAAGCTACAGCTAGATCTTTTAGGGTGTTATTTCAGAATTACAGTGAAAATGACTGTCTCAGAAGTTTACAGTTAAGAAAAAGAAAAGTGATAACTTAATAAATCATATATATCCTTCCACCTACTCCTATACACATTAGTTAACTTAAATTTCCTCTACTCTGTACTCACCCACTCTGCAGAATACCAGAATCTGAGAATAGTCTCAGATGTTTCCTAATATTTTGGAAGTTTTCTGGTGAGACAGTGTCACAGTGTTCATGAAGCAATATTACATGTTCTTTGAACCAGGACTTTCTGCTAGGCCATGGTGACAACTGGCTCATGTCTAAGTAATTACAGTGGCACTATTAAGCCACAGATCACTTTACCAAATGCCCAGTGCTAGTAATTCTCATGACAAATGTATGCCCTGAGGCTCTTGGTTCAGCCATTGCCTGCACATGCAGGTCCACCTAAGTACTGTATTCTTTTTGGTTTCTTCTCCATTCCAAATCATCTCCTGCTTAGGATGATCTATACTTTTGTTTCTACTTCCAGGATTACACATCAGGATTTCTTTAGGTTTTAAATGTGTTATATAGAAATAACTTATTTCAGTGTTTGTTAAGCCACCAAACTGGCTTAAAAGTTATTAGTGATTTAACATTGAATTTAGAATACATTTTTCGTTTGGTTATCTTTATTATTGATAGCATTACCCCTGACTGCATCTCTAGCTGGATCTCATACTACACTTCTCCCTGGATTAATATGTTTCAGACACACCAGCCATCCAAAGCATCAGTACCTCACTCACTCCTACTCAGAACCTTTGCTCATGTGGTTCTCTTTGCCTATAATACTCTTATCCCTACTCTTCACCTGGCTACTTCCTAGTCATCATTCAAGCTTCAATTTAATGTCACTTCACATCTTTAGAAACCACTAATTTAATCTATTAGTCATGCTATAAATTGTTATGATACCTGTTATTTTACCAAATATATCTTATGCTATTTGCACTTCTCCATTGGTTGTTTCTTAAATCCTGTCTCCTTCACTATATTGGTAATACCATAAAAGTGAAGACTGTGTCCATTTGTGCACCACTAACAACAATGCTGAGCACAAAGCTTGGAAAATACTAGTATGTCTCCAAAGTACTTATTGAAGAAGTGAATGAATTAGACTGAGGTCAATCAAAGCGGCAGAAAGTGTGCTTCGTTTAGCACTGCCCTTATTGTATGAATTTGCAACAGAAACTGACTCTGGATTTCATAATCACAAAAATGTAATTCTTTATAATATAATAGGCAAAGTCATATTAAAGAGAAAGTCTGAGTCTTCTTGGGACTTCTGCTTTGACCCTGGACTTTGCTCTACTCTGCAGTCCCATGTTTTTTCCTCTTTTTGTCCCTGACCCTCCCTGTAGTCCAGTTTTCCAATGTTTTGGTTCATATATCAGGAAATGTAGTTATTGCCATACATATTACGTTTGACATAACTGGTGACTGCCTCTGATGTCAGAGAGCATTCACAGAAAAGGGAACATGATTTGCACCCAGATACCTTCAGTACACCTGTCCCTTATTAATAATGGGTCAGATTATTGGAAATAATCAATGTGGCTTGCTGTTCTCTATTTAAGAGTGGTTTCTTTCCCAAGAAGTATACCCCATACCTTATGAGAGAGACCAATATGAAAGGTCCAAAGTCCTTTCAGAGCTTTTTTGCTAAGACAGTATTCCTGGTTTAGAACACACATTTCTCTTTTTTTTTTCTTTTCTTTTCTTTCTTTCTTTCTTTCTTTCTTTCTTTCTTTCTTTCTTTCTTTCTTTCTTTCTTTCTTTTTCTTTCTTTCTTTCTTTCTTTCTTTCATTCTTTCTTTTTCTTCTTCTTTCTTTCTCTCTCTCCTTCCTTCCTTCTTTCCTTCCTTTTTTCCTTCCTTCTTTCTTTCCTTTCCTTTTCTTTTCTTTTCTTTTCTTTTCTTTTCTTTTCTTTTCTTTTCTTTCCTTTCCTTTTTCCTTTTCTTTTCTTTTCTTTCTTGATGGAGTTTTGCTCTTGTCACCCAGACTGGAGTATAATGGTGTGATCTTGGCTCACTGCAACCTCCGCCTCCCAGATTTGAGTGATTCTCCTGCCTCAGTCTCCTGAGTAGTTGGGACTACAGGTGTGCGCCACTAAGCCCATTGAATTTTGTATTTCTAGTAGAGATAGAGTTTCACCATGTTGGCCAGGCTGGTCTCGAACTTCTGATGTCAGGTGATTCACCTGCCTCGGCCTCCCAAAGTGCTGGGATTACAGGTGTGAGCCACCACACCCAGTCGAACACACATTTCTTGATTCTTTTTTTTTCAGGACCAATACACACTCAAAAATTATGACACAGCATCTCAGCAAGCAAAGTGATTTATGTGCTTTGAAGGTTTGTGCCAAAATAAATTCCTTAAAAATCAACATTTATTTTTATTTGTCTTACTAGAGCTACAACACACAATCTCCTGGACTGCAATATAGCATCCAGCTTATGTCACCATTATCCCTTGTGAAAATGGTGTGCCCTAGACCTCATGTCTTCAGGTCCAAAGTGGTGAACAGACTAATCTGAAAAGCTTACCCTGGCTAATGAGGCATGTAATGTGTATTTAATGAAGATAACTAGACATATTAATACTTCTAAATTTCTAAATCTGATTTTCAGTCTGAAGCTTATGAAGGTTAGGGGTCAGATACATGGGCAAAGCTTATCTTCTCAGCACTGCTCAAATGATCCTGCATGGTTTCTACTTGCTATGGTTGTGCATACACAAAACATTGCATGTTCATAGAATTGCAGTTTGAGGATGGCATTTGATTAGAAATGTTTGATTTTTGAACAGAACATTAATTTTTCATTTAAGCTTATATATTTTATCAAATAATTATTAAAAAGCATTTTAAATTTTATTACACTTGGAGGTCACTATTTTCTCAGAGATACATATGTCCAACTTTATAATTAGCTTATGGAAATAATAGAATTGAATACACACAATTATCATGCATTGAATACATTTTTCTTATTGAGCACTAAGTGATTGTGATCTATGGGTGTTCAATTATAAGGTAGATATAAAAAAATAAATACCAGGGAGAAAATGAGTTTATTTTATTTATTTATTTCCTTATTAGAGATGGGGTCTCTCTCTGTTGCCCAGGCCTGTCTCCAACTCTTGGCCTTAAGTGATCCTCCTGCCTCAGCTGAGATTACAGGTGTGAGTCACTGTGCCAGTGGTAAGTTCATTTTAGGAAAGAAAGGGAACTCAATAGCAGAAGTAAATTTTTTTTCAACAAAGAGAGTATTATAGGGATTGCAATAACTGTTGTATAAGAACAAAACTTCTGAGTTAGCACACAAAAATCAATAATCCTTATATAAACAAAAAATAATCCGAAAACAATTAAAAAATATAATAACAATAAAAATAGTAACATGCTTAAATTAACTTAAATCCTTTCTAGAAATATTTAAACCTATAAGAATCTCCAAACCACTCTGTAAGACCAAGCTTGAACAATTGTTTGGATTCAAGAATTCCTTGTTCATGGATATGTCTCAATATCCGTACATATGCTGATTCTTTCATCTTTGTTAGTATTACATTTAATTTATATATTTTCTAGAAGAAATAACATGAAATAATATTTAAGTAAACATTTAAAAATAAGTGCAATTAGTTAGGTAGTACTGCCAGATATTAAAATACACACAATTATTTATAATTTTCAGAACATGAAATTAATCAAGATTTACTTTAGTACGTAAATGGATAAATAAAATAGGTACATCTAGACAATAAAATATTTGTGGTTTTTTTTGATGAGCTATCAAGCCATGAAAAGACATCGAGGAAATTCAAACGCAAATGACTAAATGAAACAATCCAATCTAAAAAGGCTATATACTGTATAATTCTAACTATATGACATTCCAGAAAAGGCAAAACTGTGGCGATAATAAAAAGACCAAGGGTTAGGAGGAGGGAGAGGCAAATAGCTGGAGCACAGATGATTTTTAGAGCAGTGAAACTACTTTGTATGATGTTATAAGAATGGGTATATACCATTATAAACGTTTCTAAACCCAGAGAACGCACAAAACCAAGAGTGAACCTCAGTGTAAACTATGGATTCTGAGTAATAATGATTTGTCAGTTTAGATTAATCAATTATAACAATTGTACCACTCTGATAGGGAATATTGATAATGCAGGAGGCTGTGCATCTGTTGGTGTAGGGAGTATCTGGGAAATCTCTGTAACTTCTGCTGTGAACCTTAAGCTAGCCTAAAAATAAAGTCTATTTTTAAAAAGTATACTATAAAGTCTCTGTAATCAAAACAGCATGATACAGATTCAAGAATATATTAATAGGTTAACAATATTGTATGGAAAGTTCAGAATAGACTCAGGTATAAATGAAGATTTAGTAAATATTATATATGTTATCTTAGGCTACTGGAAAAAAATATAGCTTTTTTAAAACATAGTGTTGGGAAAACCGGATAGTATTTTAGAAAAGAAAAATATTGGATCCATTATTGATGTAGTAGAGGGTGAAAACACTCTACTTGGGTAAACAGTCTAAACGGGAACATGCTTGGCTTCCTTTATAATGTGTGTGGAGACATTTCTAATTATGATTCACTATCAATCAGCTACATAAAAATTATAAATGCAACTTCATTAAAAATTTTAAAATTCATGATAAAACTGAGAAAAATTAAGAGACAGACTGGACAAAAATATTTGCAACTTACATCACAGAAAATAAAATGCTAGAATATTTCACTTAAAAAGTTATTGAAAATAAAGTGAAAAAACATAGGAAAATGATTTAAAAAAGAAAGGTTTAGAGAAAATATATAAAAATGGTCCTTGAACATATGAAAAGGCACTCTAACTCACTGATAATAATAGGGATGCAAATTAAAACTACACCATTATGCTATTTCTTACTTACCAGATTAGTAGAAAATGAGTGCCTTGAAAACACATCCTTTTGGCTAGGCTTTGGGAAAACAGACACTCATAACTGTTGATGGGAACATATGATGGTAAAACCCTTGTTGAACACAATGTGGCAATATCTAACAAAGCTGCATGTGCATTTACACTTTGATCCAGAAATCCTCCTTCTAAGACTTTGCTTGTATATACCTTCCTGCAAATAACAAAACAATATATGCAAAAGGTTATTCACTGCAGCATTAACTAAAATAACAAATATTGGATACAAACAAAATGCCTATCCATAGAAGACAGATTAAATAACGTACAGAACAATGAAAAGATAACTAGCTATTAACTTATATGGAGTATTTCCAAGATACATTGTTCAGTGAAAAAAGGAGCTTAAAAAAGTATACATACTATGGTATGTTTGTGAATTAGTGCAGAACAAATTTGTGTGTGTGTGTATGTGTACAAATAAATGTTCTCTATTATATATGTATTTAAAATGTATAACATGGAATACATCACACAGAGAAAAGATACACAGAAAATAATGAAAATGGTTAATTATGTGTGTGAGTATGAAGAAGATGGAAGGATGGAAGTAAACTCATCTTTATCTTTATATATAAAGGACATCTAACAAATATGGAAAAAATGATTGAATTCTAAAAATGAACTTTATTCAAACAAAAACGAAAATGCACCATCAGAACTTGGTCTGTCCCTTGCCTTCTCTGAGTAAGCGTTATCAGTGGATGCTAAAATCATTGTGTGGTGGGTTGTTGGAAAACAGGGCTTTCCTACCTATTCAAGATATCACACAAGTATAATATTAATTATTAATAGAAAACAATTTTTCTTTATGATTTGGAGATTTAGCAGCCAAACTTTGAATCATCAATGGTAGGACAACTTGATATAATGTTCTTAATGTGAAACAACAAGAAATATACATAGCAACTGTGTACTATTCTTGCCAAAATTGTTAAACTGAATTTACATAAAAAAAAAATGGAACACATTGTAAAAGACCAGAGGCCTAGAATGGTCAACATTTCAATATAATGAGAAAAAAGATAAGGGACAGTTCAACATTAAAAGAAACTAAAGAGACATAACCAAATTCAATTTACAAACCAGAATTGCATCCTGGAGTTTTACAAAAAGATTCTAAAAGATAATTTTAGAACAATTAGTGAATTTTGAAGATGTACAGTATATTAGGTGATATTTTAGAATTAGTGTTAATTTTCTTAGATGCAACATTGGTATAGTAGTTATAGAGAAGAATGCTTTTATTCTTAGGAGAGTCCTGCTAACATATTTATCAGAGAAGTTATGAAATGCCTGGAAATTATTTTCAAATTGTTCAGCAAAAGAAAAAAAATGTATGTATTTAGAGAAAGAAAATAATTTTAGGAAAAATTTAATGTCTAAATTTAGCTAGGTACAGGTGGCATTGTGCCTATAGTAAAATTTCTCCAACTTTTCTGTAGGTTTGACTTTTTTCCCCAAAATAAAAAATTTACGAAATGAACAAAACTCTTTTTATATTGAAAATATAGCCTGCTTTTTTAAATTAAAAAAATAGAGATTAATCATCTGATCAATCTATATTCAAAGGAGATTTTCAGATATAGTTCTTATATGTTTGCATGCCAAACTTCACTGCCAGTCATTTGCTGGAATTCCTGTAGAGGATATGGTTGCAAAAATGAAACTTAAATTGAGAAACATCACAAGAATTCAACCACTTCTGAAATATGTTCTTTATGGGTTTACTGAAATACAGACGTGAAGGGCAAGTCCAATTGTAAAATATTCATCTTGAAATGCCTCAACTGCCCCCAGGAGCACCGTATCTTTCAGGATTGAAATTGCGAGAAAGGAAAACAAGGTTAAAAAATCAGGTATATCCTGTTTGGAAGGGTGTGGGATTATATGACATCATCAGAACTTGGTCTGTCCCTTGTTTTCTCTGATCTTTGCTTTCCTTTGTGTTAGTGGAGTTCTCAGGCTGGCTTGCCATTTCTGCTAACCAGATGTACACCGGCTGCTCCCATCTTACTGCTATCTTCTACCAACTTTAATAGCTGAAGAAAGTTTCTCTCACTCCTCAGATTCCTATCTGCTCTGAGTATCTTCTCTTGGCTCAGATACCAGTCCTAAAGAAATGCCTGTGGCGAGGGTCATATGAGACTCTGATTTACTGGGCTCACATTGCCCACATTTGAAAGAGGAATGACATTGTAGCACTAGGGTTACTGAAGTGAAAGAGGAGAGGATGTTTCCCAAAACAGAATTAGAATTCTCTTAACATTAAAAAGTGGGAGAGTGCTGGGCAGGCAAAAACAACAGCTGTCAACTATCAGCACCATGGCCATTTCTGGAGCCCTGAATTACACATTTTATTTTATGGTATTTTTGTCACATTTTGTGACTTCAAATAAGCTACATGAAAATTTCTGGATATTTTAATTTTCTCTTCTCATCAGTATTCTCCTGTATACTTTTATTTTTATAGGATGAACCACCTTTGATTACAAATTTCTTGATCTCACACTTACCTTTACTGAGGTTAAAATATTTGCTACTTGGCACAACTCATTATAAATTATAAATCTTTTCTGTATAAATTTGTTTCTCAGTTTTTATGCAATTTAATTTCTAGTCATATTTCTACAAAGTTAAATTGTTGTAAGAGTGAAATACTAACTTCCAAGGGAAAGAAATTCTGATTCAAGAATGATTCATTTTTAATAGAGAGCAAAGTTATCACAGTAATACATTAATTTTCTTGAGTGTAAGGTGCCTTTTTATTCTAGTAACAACATATATCCATCACTTTTGCCCTTCATTAGTGAGATAAAATAGTGCTTGATGAGCATGAAAGGGCACCATATTATAACCATATCATTTCTACACAGCAGAAAATGAACTAAAAATATGAAATCATCTTGTAAACATGAGTTGTATAAATAGCTACTCTTCCTATTATGTTAAAAAAATCTGTATCTAAGAATTCATTATGATTTGCAATGATATACTAAAACCTAATCCATTAGATCCTTCTGAATCTTTTGTTTTATAGAAGTATGTCAATCAACTTTTCTTTCAGCCACAGAACCACAAAGTCTCAAAGGCTTACACCTTGTAGTTCTCACCCATTATATGAATGCTGAGGGTCAGCTTCAGTTTGGCTGAGCATTTCTGGATTTGTTTGGTTGGTTTTATTGTGCTTGGCCTGTCTCCTTGTGTTTCCTTATTGCAGTATCCAAGTGGAAATATCAGCCACTACCACAACATACTTTTAAAATTGCAGAAGGCAGAAATTAAAGGTGACTGATAGAAACGTAAAATAACTCTCACAGCTTCTGACACAATGTGGCATATGTTATGTCTGATTACATTCTCTTGGCCAAAGCAAGTCACATGTCAAAGCCCAACATCACTGGGGCGTGGGATTATATCTCTCCCATGAGTGGGCGCCAGGTGTAAGTGAGGGAGTGGTGAACATTTGGATAGACATATTATCTCTCATAAAAGGTATCCAAGAAGCTGACTTGTTTTGCTATGCTGGAGGCAGACAGCCAACTATTTATCCACCGATTAGTTCACATAGTCACTGTTTGAATGTCCACCATGGGTCAGGTCCTTATTAGGTGCTCCCTTGTGACATGAATTTAAAACACTAGAAAGAAACAGAAAAACATGAAATTGTTCCTATCAAGGTGCTTCCATTTCTTTGGACCGGGGTTGGCAAAGGTTTTCTGTAAAGGGCCAGATGTTAAATACTTTAGGGTTTATGGGCCACATACAGTACTTATGAAGACTTCTTTCACCTTTCTCCTTCTCCATATCTTCCTCCTGCCCCTCCTACTCATCCTCCTCTTTTTAAAGATTCTTTAAATAGGTAAAAAAGAGTTCTTATCTCTCATATTGGGTAAAAATGGGCCACCAGACAGAGTTGGGGCACAGGCTGCTAGTTCCCGCTGTAAGAGAATAAAATGGACAAACACAACTTCTATGACTTACACTAAACACAACTATATCATTCCAAATACAAGTGTGTACTCTAATTTAATTAACTTGTAAATTTATTAGTAAATCCTCTTTTAATGTGCAATGTCCCAAAAACTGAGAGAAAAATATAAAATCACTATATCAAAAAGTACTTATGACAGGACCTGCATGGCTATAACAAATGCATTTCCCTTAGTTGCTCAGCCTTATTCTCAATAATACAGTTTATGCATTAGCTTCATGCTTAATTTTTCACACTGAGGCTGTACTTCTGAGACAGTTTATCTTGAATTGGGAATGAAGAAGATAACGAACATAATGTATAGGGCATGAGCTGAGTTCAGGTCTTGGTTTTGTCATTTGTTAGTTGGGTGGGGCATGTTTATAACAGCTAATTTATGGACTTTGTCTGATAATCCCAACATCTGTGTCATTTTGTGATTATATTTTCACCTGTGATTTTCCTTGTTCTGTATAGGCAAGGTAATTTGAAATCAAATTATAGATATTTTTAATATTATGTTATCAGACTTTCAGCCTCATTTAAATTCTGAAGAGGATATTGATTTTTTGCTTTTTATCACGCAATCTGATTAGGTAGAGGTTTAGGCCACAACTTGCTTTCTGTGGGTTCTTATTCCCTCAGTTTAGTCTTCAGAGCATTTACTGTACTATTTAGATCACCCCACATTTGTGCCCCCCAGTGGCCAAACAGTGAGTGGAAGCCTACCCTGGGCTCAGTTTCCAAAATATTTGATATGATATTTAGTGTGAGATGCATGAATGTGCAGTTTGGAGGTGAGTTGAGGAGTTCCCACACAGTTTATGGGATTTCTGTTGATCTTTCTTCTTTCTGTGACCTCCACAACACCTTCTACCTTCCTAAGGCCACCCTTTCCTGTCCTCTCTCCAGAAACCTAACTTCTTGCTCTTCCAGACACTTCCAAAAAGCGTGTTTGTATTCAGGACCAAATGGTGGGAGGACAGAGGGAGGGGGAAAAATGGCAATTTGCTTCATGCTCTGGGGACCCCAGATTTTCTTGCCAGAGAGCAGAATTTTCCTTTCTTAGAGTTGTGGGAGCCTGCCTGGCAGCCACTGCCATCACTGTGCAGCTGCCACCTCACCATCACAGCTGCCTGGGAGCTAGAACAGGAGAGAAGGAAAAAAAGTTAAACAAAACA